AAAACCAATGGAAGGATCTACTATGATCAGTTTGGATGACTCAAAATTAGAAAGATGTCTTGTTTATCCAAGCTGGTCTACAGATACAATGCAATTCCAAATGAAATTGCAATATAATTTTTGTTTTTTTGACAGACAGGATCGTGCTCTGTTGCCCAGGGTGGAGTGCAGTGGTATGATCATGGCTCACTGCAGCCTCAACCTCTTAGCCCCTAAGTAGCAGAGACTACAGGCATGCACCACCACGCCCAGCTAATTTTAAATTTTGTCTTATAGACCATAGAGATGGGGTCTCCCTATGTTGCCCAGGCTTGTCTCGAACTCCTGAGCACAAGCAATCATCCTGCCTTGGCCTCCCAAAGTGCTGGGATCACAGGTGTGAGCCACTCCATCCAGCCTGATTTTTCAAAAATGGCAATTGATATTAAAAGTTAATTTTTAAAAGTTAATTTTAAAAATTCACATGTAAGTACAAATGGCCAAGCTCTTCCTAATTAAAAAAAAAAAAAGAGTTGATGTACTTGGGACTCCTAGGAATAAAGACTTATTAAAGGCAAGGTAATTATAATAAACGGAAACAGTGCAGTGACAGACAGAAGGCCAAAAGAGCAGAACTGAGACTCTAGGTCCCCACACGTGCCACTGCCTGCTCTGTGACAGAGAAGCAATGCAGGCCACAGAAGCTCCTTCCCATACCTGCTGGACAACTGGATGACACACTGAAACCTAACGAAACTTCACCCCACTTCACATCATAGCAGAAATAAATCACAGGTAGATGATGGACAGAAACATGAAAAGTTAAAATAATAAAATCTCTAGATGATAAAAAAAGAATATGGAAAAGATTTCTTAAGATGACTCAAGAAACAATGGCATAAAGAAACAAATGGCAAATGAGCTCCATTAAAGTTAAGAGCTTCTGTTTATCCACGAAGAGGCTTAAACCCAATCACAGAGCTGGAGACAAAATCCGTAATACTCACACCTAATGAAAGACTCTAAGGCTCCTAAATATTGATTTAAATAGAGAGATCAAATAAAAAAATGAGCAAACTCATTTTGAAACGGCCCTATAAAAAAAGCAAGAATTTGAAACATACGAACTCATTTTCCATCAGGGAAATCAGGGAAATGTAAATTAAAACACCATTCTATGTTATTATAGACCCACAAGAATGGCTGGAGACTTAAAAACGGACAATACTGAATGGAGGCAAGGATGCAGTGCGAATGGAGGCCGCATGCCCTGCTGGTGGGTGTGGACACTGGTAACCACTTTGGAAATTACTTGGTGGCCTTTATTTATTTTCAATAAACGTATTTATTTTTAATGGACACATGATAATTGTATGTATTTGTGGGGTACACTTTGGTGCTTTGATACGTCTATGTTGTATGATGATCCCATCAGGGTATTAGTGTAGCTACTGGCAGTGTCCAGAAAGACTATCTCTACGTATAGCCTGTGACCAGGAAATACAAGATAAACATAAATGTAAATACAAATGTGTATACACATAAACACACATACCCGAAGTAACATGTGCGTGTGTGCACGAGATGATGACTAAGAGCGTAACAGCAGCATTATTTGTTATGCCTCCAGCTGAGTAACCCGTACGTCCATGAACAGTTGATTGGATAAATAAATTGTATTTTTTTTGAGTGGAATACGATACAGCAAGAAAATAAAAGATGGCAACTACATGCAACAACATGGATGAGCCTCCTTGCAAAACGTCGAGTGAAAGAACCCAGGGATCAGTAGTTCCTTTTGTAGGATTCTGAAATAACATTTTCAAAAGGAGAGAAAAGTTGTCTCTGGCAAAAGAACTCTGAATAACGACTGCTTTTCAGGAGGGAAGGGGGTGGATGCAGTGTTCCTGGTGAGAGTCGTGTCCTGCATCTGGATCTGGTGCTGTGTTCACTTGGTAAACATGCATTCTGAATGTGTACTGCATTAGCAAATGTTTATTTTAACATATGTAACTGCCACCGAGCCTTAGTAAGAGAAGAATTATAAATATGCTCTGAATTTTCTTGGTGTCTTGGGAGCAATTCTGAAGTTGTGTGGGCACTGTGCAGCCACTGCGCCAGGCGTACGAACCAGTGCCGCTTCCTCTGGCTTCTCCTCAATTCCCCTCATCAGAAGGCAAATGTCCCCTACTGGTGCCATCTCACTTCCCACTGACTCTCACATTGGCTGCGTTCATCTCTCCCAATCACTGTTTTCCCTCTCTTATTTTCTTTCTCTCCTTCCCTCTCTCCCACCCCATGTCTTTCTGTGGAGTGAGGTTGGCACTTATAGCCATTGCTCAGACATAAGCACGGTTTTGGTCCAGTTAGCAAGCCATCCAAACACATGTTTGCTGGGTTTCTTGATGATATTCTTCATTACTCACTGCTCATTTTAAATTTTCACTTCCACGTAAGGATCTGCAAATGGGCAATGGAAGTAGCGGAAAGTGTGGCTTCTGGAAAAGGGGGTCTGCAGTCTGCTCATTAGCACTGGTGGGAAAGGATTTTGGAGGCCACGTCCATCGGACAGTGACGGAGGTGCAGGCTGCATTGATGAGAGAATCTGGGCTCTGCATGTACCAGCTCAGCAACCCTGAAATGTCCAGCGATCTTCCCGGGGCTGCACTCTCCGCCTGGTGAAACTGGGTCAGTGGCAGTACTTACCTGGTGACGTTAACATCTGTAAAATACTTGGCATGGTGCATGTGAGCAGTTACAGTTGTCCCTTGGTGTCCATAGGGGATTGGGTCTAATCCCCCTCCCCGACCTTGCCCTCCTTGCCCCATGCCAAAATCCATGAATGTCCAAGTCCCACAGTTGGCCTTTCAGGACCCGCGGATACATGAAGCTGGCCCTCCGTATCTGCAGGCTTCTCATCCTGAGAATAGGCCGTATTTCTGATCTGTGGTTGAATTCCTCGATACAGAGGGCTGACCATAATGAAAAAAATTCTCAGAGAAGAGGACCATGCAGTTCAAACCCGTGTTGTTTGAGGAGCAACTGTTGTGGTCCCTGCTGGACTGGCGCGAACTGGAGCTGTCTCTGTTGGCCCCTGGGTCACAGGGGCAGCTGTCACAGGATGACTCCTACACAAAGTTGGTCTTATATTTGTTGTGAGAGTCATCATCGCATTTTGGGACTTGTTCTAAGAAATAAGTAGCTCCTTTCCCTGTGTGTAAAGTAAGAACATGGCTCCTGAAGGCTTTCTTGGCTTATGGGGCTATTTTGGAGAAGAAATGTTCAATGCCCACAAAGCATTCTGCTTCCTGGGTATAATTACCGAGACAATGGAGCACATTATTTTTATAATATGGACTTGAGAATTGACACACTCACACAGCTCTCAGGAAGTGACACTGGACCCTGCTTCTGACAGAAGGATGTGGGATGAGCCCCAGTCCTACAACAGCACACCAGCTCTGGATGCTTTTTCTGGCAAATGTCACACACTTGGCCACCAGCAGAATGACATCTGACGCAGACGTACACTTTTTTCAGCTCAGAAGTGCCACAGGCAGGTGACTAATGGTGCCCACAGTTGGAGGAGTGTGCTCTGTGCCCTAAAGGATCAGTGTTCATAGGTGGGATAATTCCTGATGCTCTTGGGTTGCCTAATAAACATGTTATACTGTACATACATGAAGGAAACTGATGTGTGTAAAAAATAGGGATTGTTCAATATAGGAAAATAAGATAAAAATTTCAGATTTAATTACCTTGGGTCAGCTTGCTTCCTTAAATTTTTCCTCTCTTTCTTCTCTTTAGCAACTTGAAAATTTAAACATATATAATAAAATATAGAGTATAATAGAACAAATATTAATATTGTACCAGCTTTTTGAAATAACTAGAATATGATAGGCCTTCCTCACACTTTTCAAAGTGCAACCCTGTATGAAAGGTTGGCTTATTCTTTCTGAGAATTGCCAACCATAGTTGAGATGCCTGAACAATAAAAAACATAACTCGATTACATTTGCTGGGTTTCTTAGCTGGATTCTCAACAACTAACTTGTTTATTTTACTTCCAAGTATGGATCTTCTAATGGACTGTTGTTAGGGTCTAGAAATATTCCATTTGTTATATCATTGATCTTATCTGACATACTGGCAAACATTTGGATTACCTTTTAGCAGAGAGAAATAAAATATGTAATGATTGATACACTATTAGAATAAGCTGAATAGCATCCATTTTATTCAGTGCTAATGATATGGAAGACAGATTTAATCCTAATACACCAATGAGCTCTTCCTATAGAGAAATTGCTGTTCTGGGACGAAAACCTCTACCCCCTAATTCAAATCAAACAATGATTTGATTGGTCAAGTCATCTGTAAAATGTCATCATTAGTTACCAAGAGACCCGCTAAAGATGCAGGTGGGCAGGGGCCATCTCACCTCACTTCCAGGGAAGAGCGGACAGCATTTAATAAGCCGTCATCACCACCCCACATGTCATGCTAAGCACTTCACATCTGCCAACACGTTAAGTCCTCACAACAGCCCTCTGAAGGGGGCTTCTTAGTCTCTACACGTAACAGAAGCACAGACAGGTTAAGTACTTTGCCCAAGGTCATACAGCTGCTAAGAGACTGACCCAGGATTTGAACCCAGACAGTCTGACTCCACCTTCATGCTCTTAAACACATTGCAGCATCTTGCTAATAGAGCACCTGCAGTCAAAACACAGAAGCTTCTGGATGGCAAGGGTGAGATCATATTTCTTCTCTGTTTTCCATGCATTTACATAACGGCTAAGTATTTAATAAATGATAGTTGAGTTGAATTCTTATCCAAGGTCAGTATTATCTCTTTACATGACAAATACAGAGCATGTGAATAAAAATGTAAGTGTTAACATCGTATTTCATGCCAGCATTCTCCAAGGGAGTTTTATTGGCTTAGCACACAGAGGGCTTCAGGCTGGGCAGTGCCTAGAAGGCCTAAATGGAAACTTGTCTTGTATTCTTTGCAGACTTACTAATTTCTACTCCTTACCTGAAGAGGCACAGAATTATGCTTCCTGTTGCAAGGGACATCAGAGAGACACTGTAGCCCAGGGTGTAAATGGCCTTCACCAGAATATAAAACGTGATCTACAAAGAAAGAAAATGGATCTGTAAGCTGATGGTGACTGGCAGCAACACCAGACAATGGGAACGGTTCCAACATCCAGCCCTGTGCTCTGGCCATGAAGGACTCTTGCCTGCCTGGAAGGCATGAGACAGTCTCACTTTATAATTCCACCTCCATCTTGAACCAAAAAATGATACCCACCACTCAGAACATCCTCTTTTTTTCTTGTATTTCATCATGAATGACTTTGGATGGTTTCCGTAAAGCACCTCTGTGTGGAGGGAACATGACCCACCACCATCAGGGAAAGCAAGGGAAGAAGCGCTGAGCTAAGTTCACAAAGAAAGCTCAGTCTGTCCCCAAGGCAGCACATCCAGCCTTCTGATACTTCAAGTGGACACACAAGTCTGAGTATGTTAAACGCTATGACCTCCAGGCGCAGGGTGAGGTGCTCCAGACAGAGGGAGTTGCCTAAGCCATAGCCAGCTGCTAAGCTGCAGTATCTTGGGAATTTTATTTTCTTAACATTTCTTGGTTTAGCAAGCTTCATGGCTTGATACTTTTAATCTCTACAAAATCATCAGGCACATGAGGCATTCATGATCATCACAGTGGCAGAATCACTGACAACAGGGAATCCTACACAGAAAGAACTGGGTCCTCTAGAAGGAAAACCAGTGCCAGTCCTGATAAAACCAGCAACACCTGCAGGGCCTCATCATTGCTCACCACTCCCAAAAGCCACTTCCTGATCTGCATTTTCCTTGATAAAGCTAATTCCTATAAAATAAAGAGGTAAACAATCCATGTGTGCTTATATGATGAATTTTATTTTTGCCACGAGGTCCTAAATCTGTATAGATAAAACAGAACCTGTTACTTTACAATATAAAATTGAAGGCAAAACTAAAAAAGTTATGCTCTTGTTTGTTAGTTTGACTCTTAATTATAATTTTACTGTTTAATCATTATTTAGAATGCATTAACCCATTTACTTTGCATTGTAGGAATCTCTTCTTGGTAACCTTGACCCTGCTTACTTATGACAGCTCAGAAAAGAGCACAAAGTAGTCCTGGCCAGATCCCTCCTCCTTGCTACTCCTCATCCTTCCTGACTCCAGTCGTGAGAACATGTCATTAACCACCATCCTCACCTCACCTAAACACCACTCTCAACTCACCTAACCTATACTCACTTCACCTAACCACTCCTCTCACCTCACCTAAACACCACTCTCAACTCACCTAACGTGCACTCACTTCACCTAACCACTCCTCTCACCTCACCTAACCACCATCCTCACTTCACCCAACCACCACCCTCACCTCACCTAACCACCACTCTCCACTCAACTAACCCATACTCACTTCACATAACTACTTTCCTCACCTCACCTAACCACAACTCTCATCTAATGCATACTCATCTCACCTAACCACAACTCTCAACTCATCTAACCATCTCCCCTCACTAACCACCATCTCACTTCACCTAACCACTCCTCTCACCTCACCTAATGATCACTTTCAACTCACCTAACCCATACTCACTTCACCTAACCACTTTCCTCACCTCACCTAACCACAGCTCTCATCTAATGCATACTCATCTCACCTAACCACAACTCTCAACTCATCTAACCATTTCTCCTCACCTAACCACCATTCTCAACTCATTTAACACATACTCATTTCACTTAACCACCACTCTCACCTCACCTACCAACAGCCTCACCTCACCTAATCACCACTCTCCATTCATCTAACCCATATTCACCTCACTTAGCTGTAACTCTTACCTCACCTGTCACCCTCACATCACCTAACAACCACCCCCGCTTCACCTAAATACTCTCCTCAGCTTCTCTAGCCACCCCTCTTAACTTATCCAATGTATACTCACTTCAATTACCCACCACCCTCACCTCACTTAACCGGTATTCACCTCACCTACCACTAACCTCACCTCACCTAACCACCACCCTCACTTCACCTAACCACTAACCACTGCTCTGAACTCATCTAATTCATATTCACTTCACCTAACCACAACCTGCACCTTACCTAACCCACCCTCACCTCACCTAATAGCCACCCTCACAGCACGTAACCACCACCTTCACTTGCTGATTTCTCAAAGAACTTAGAACTACCATTCAACCTGGCAATACCATTACTGGGTATAAACCCAAAGGAATAGAAATCATCCTACCAAAACGACATGCCCATCAGAGCCCTATTCACAAAGCGAAGACATGGAATCAATATGTGCCCATTTATGGTGGGCTGGATAAAGAAGATGTGGCACATATACAGGATGGAATATTACACAGCCATAAAGACTGAAACCACGTCCTCTAAAGCACCATGGATGCAGCTGGAGGCCATCATCCTAAGCCAATTAGCACAGAAACAGAAAACCAAATACCACATGTTCTCATAAGTGGGAGTGAAACATTGGGTACTCAGAGCAGCTCAGAAAAGAGCACAGAGTAGTCCTGGCCAGATCCATCCTCTTCCTTACTCCTCATCCTTCCTCAGGGAGGAGAAGCGGAGGGAGGAAGGGGGCAAGGGTTGAAAAACTGTTGGGTACTATGTTCTGTACCTGGGTGGTGGGATTAATCACACCCCAAACGTTAGTATCATGAAACATATCCAGGTAACAAGGCTTCACATGTGCCCCTGAATCTAAAATAAAAGTTGAAAAAAAAAATAAAAAAGGCCGGGCTTGGTGGCTCACATCTGTCATCCCAGCACTTTGGGAGGCTGAGGTGGGAGGGCTGCTTGAGCCCAGGAATTTGGGACCAGTCTGGACAACACAGTGAGACCCCTGTCTCTATTAAAAAAATAAAAAAAAATGTAGCCAGGTGTGGTGGTGCATGCCTGTGGTCCTCAGCACTAGGGAGGCTGAGGTGGGAGGATCGCCTGAGCTGGGAAGGTGGAGGCTGCCATGAGCTGACTGTGCCACTGCCCTCCAGCCTGGGTGACAGAGCGAGGCCCTGTCTTAAAAAAAAAGTGGAAAATAGTCCACAGTTCCACTTCCACACTTTCTTTTTTTTTTTTTTGAGACGGAGTTTCACTCTTGTTCCCCAGGCTGGAGTGCAATGGCGCGATCTCAGCTCACTGCAACCTCCGCCTTCTGGGTTCAGGCAATTCTCCTGCCTCAGCCTCCCTAGTAGCTGGGATTACAGGCACGCGCCACCATACCCAGCTAATTTTTTGTATTTTTAGTAGAGACGGGGTTTCACCATGTTGACCAGGACGGTCTCGATCTCTTGACCTCGTGATCCACCCGCCTCGGCCTCCCAAAGCGCTGGGATTACAGGCGTGAACCACCGTGCCTGGCCACTTCCACACTTTCATTCAACAAGTGTTTACTGGGCGCCCACCAGGGTTGAGAACGTGGGAGAAGTCGAGAGGAATGGCGGCCTTCGGGTGGACTGGAGCGCGAGCTGCTGGGGAGTTTCTGGGTCAAGCGCAGTGCGCCGCGGCTGTGAGGAGACGCCAGGCCGGGCCGAGGTGCTGCGGGGAAGGTGCAGCGGCTGTGCGGCCCTGGAGGGAGAGGCGGGGGCGGGGGCGGGGGCGGGGGCGGCCGCGTCTGGAGCCAAAGGCTGGAAGGCACGTGGCGAGAGGCCGGGAGGAGGCGGGAGGGCGGGTGGCGGGAAACCGCGAGGAGGCGGGAAGCCTGGAGCCTCCAGAGGAGCGCAGACCTGAGGGCCCTGCAGGGGGCGAGGTGTGGGGTCTGCAGGGGCTGGTGCGAAGCAGGCGAGAACTGGTCAGATCCCGACGGTGACTGGATGGCGGGGCCTGTGGGCCTTCCCGGGCTGGGGAGGGGGGGGAAGGGAGGAAAACTGGGCGAGGACGCCCCCAAGGTTTCAGCCCGAACCCGGGCAAGCCTCAGCCACAGCTGCCGGGAGGGAGGTGAGAGAGCAGCGGCAGCCTCGGGCACGGGTCTGGGGGTCCTGGCGGGATCCCGGGGTGCTGGCGGGGTCTGGTGGTCCTGGGGGATCTGAGGGGCGTGGCAGAGTCCAGGGGTCCCGGCGGGGTCTGGGGGGCGTGGAGCACCCGGCGCCCACCCCGGGCTGGGGTTCAAGAGGAAGGTCTGGGACAGAGGCTCCTCTGAGTCTTCCTCAAGCGCAGGCGGCACTGAGGCCCCGGGCATTCACCGAGAAATCCCATGACAGGAAAACGCCACGTCATTCTGGCTGGAGAAGCCGCGTCCAGGGAGGGTGAGCACGCGGGGAGCAGAAAGGAGGCGATCGGCGAGGCAGGGTGGGGGAGAAAGGCGGCCCCACGCCCAGGTCCTCTGCCCGGGAGCCGCTGGGTCCTGGCTGAGCCGACCCTGCACCTGGGCCCCGTGGGCTCCAGTGGGTCCAGGGAGGACCCCCAGCTGCGCCCTCTGTGCAGAGCCCTTCGGGACGGACCATGAGGGGAGGGATGCAGGAAGGGGCTGAATGGAATCGGCGGCTCCTGAGTTAGCAGTGTCTGGGTTTGTTATGGGTGGGGATTTTGGTGCGGTGGAAATGCACCGGACCGGAACTGTGGTCTCAGTGGTGGCAGCGAGCTGTGTGCTGGGCTAAAGGTGGAGGCAGCCACTTGCTGTCGGGCGGGGCTTTGAGGTCAGCAGCAGCAGGAGCGCAGAGGCCTGCGTGGGATCCTGAGTGCAGCGGCACAGAGAGGCCTGGGTCGGATCCTGAGTGCAGCGGCACAGAGAGGCCTGGGTCGGATCCTGAGTGCAGCGGCCCAGAGAGGCCTGGGTCGGATCCTGAGTGCAGCGGCCCAGAGAGGCCTGGGTCGGATCCTGAGTGCAGCGGCCCAGAGAGGCCTGGGTCGGATCCTGAGTGCAGCGGCCCAGAGAGGCCTGGGTCGGATCCTGAGTGCAGCGGCCCAGAGAGGCCTGGGTCGGATCCTGAGTGCAGCGGCCCAGAGAGGCCTGGGTCGGATCCTGAGTGCAGCGGCCCAGAGAGGCCTGGGTCGGATCCTGAGTGCAGCGGCCCAGAGAGGCCTGGGTCGGATCCTGAGTGCAGCGGCCCAGAGAGGCCTGGGTCGGATCCTGAGTGCAGCGGCCCAGAGAGGCCTGGGTCGGATCCTGAGTGCAGCGGCCCAGAGAGGCCTGGGTCGGATCCTGAGTGCAGCGGCCCAGAGAGGCCTGGGTCGGATCCTGAGTGCAGCGGCCCAGAGAGGCCTGGGTCGGATCCTGAGTGCAGCGGCCCAGAGAGGCCTGGGTCGGATCCTGAGTGCAGCGGCCCAGAGAGGCCTGGGTCGGATCCTGAGTGCAGCGGCCCAGAGAGGCCTGGGTCGGATCCTGAGTGCAGCGGCCCAGAGAGGCCTGGGTCGGATCCTGAGTGCAGCGGCCCAGAGAGGCCTGGGTCGGATCCTGAGTGCAGCGGCACAGAGAGGCCTGGGTCGGATCCTGAGTGCAGCGGCCCAGAGAGGCCTGGGTCGGATCCTGAGTGCAGCGGCACAGAGAGGCCTGGGTCGGATCCTGAGTGCAGCGGCACAGAGAGGCCTGGGTCGGATCCTGAGTGCAGCGGCACAGAGAGGCCTGGGTCGGATCCTGAGTGCAGCGGCACAGAGAGGCCTGGGTCGGATCCTGAGTGCAGCGGCACAGAGGCCTGCGTTGGATCCTGAGTGCAGCGGCACAGAGGCCGGCAAGGCTGCTCTCTGGGGGCTGGAGCAGTTGGTGCTGAGTGAGTCCTGTCAGGTCGGCATCCAGTCCTGCGGCAGATCCAGGGTCCTCTGCTGGCCCCACCTTTATTTACCTCAGCTCTGGCACCATGTGGCCCCTGGAGCTGCTTGTGCACAGCTGTGTGCTGGGGGCACCAACCCTCCCTCTTTCAGTCCCTACAGAGGTTTTGCCTGGAGACC